TACGAAGTATTTATGATGTGGATGCACTGTAGATTTATACAGTAACTCAGAAATGTTCTCCTGTTTTATTTTCCATTCCTTTTCCAGTAATCGCTTAAAAAAAAAAAAAAAGTATTTTCCTATGACTCACTGAGTACTGAGCTCAGGTTTTCGCTATACAGTCCATAGGGAATCCTGCATTTTCTTACAGAATGAGCGTAAGTGATTTGTTATCATCGCTCTGTGTGTCTTCACATAGAGCCGAGTGCATTTTCTCAATGTTCACTTAGTAACGTTTAACTTCCCTTGCCATTTTGTCATCAAGTAGTAGGTACAACTCTTTGTGATTCATTTTAATTTGTTTTAGATTTTATTTCCCCGAGCATGCCGCACAGCAGAGAGATCAGTGCAGTTTTTGACGGGATTTGCCTGGTATCTTTCTGAAAGGTTTTCACTTGTTTGGTTATTTACCTTTTTCTTGCCTCTCTTCCTAATTTTTTTTTTTCTTAGAGTCCATTTTTTCCACTCTGCCTTATAAGTGTGGTTGTAGCTCATCTTGAGCATGTGGAAAAATTAAATGATTTGGCAGCTCTGGTGGAATGTATATGGTGTCTCAGGTTTTGCAGGATGAGGAGCCCACAGTAATAGCTTTAATATTTTTTTCTTTAACTAGACACTGTGAATTAGGAAGTTACTTTCTCAAAATTTTCACAAACTCTAGTTGTAGAAATGCTTCAAAAATGACTGTACTCTTGTGGGAACTGTTTGTGCACAGTGTTACTTTTTATATGGTCAGTTTTCACTTTTTCCTTAGCAGTGCAGTTTGCTGCCGCTTTGTACACAGAGAAGCAGAAAAGAAGGAACCATCCTAATAATAGGAAAAGTACTAGTTGACAGGGTACAACATTGCCAAATTTGCCTGTCATATGAGTTTGTAACTTACACTCTTTGTTCATCTTGGACATCCCTGCAAATCCTCACACTACAGTGTTCTCATATACATGGCTAAGGCTTTACGCAGGCTGTGTTTAAATACTGCCAGCTCTTCCTGTGTAATACCTTTAAAATTTCTCATCTAGTATGCCCACAGCCACAACTTCCATCCAGTCTCTCATTATCTTATTATTTGATGATTCCATTTCTCTGACTTTGTCTTTTCAGATCTATTTAAGATACTGCTGTGAAATTTATTCTTCACTGCTTTCATCATGGCCCTGTACTCTTTGCCTACTTCCCTTCAGTAACAAGATAATGATCCTGCCTCCAACTAGCCAAAGTTGCCAACCTCTGTCATCCCCTTATTTTCTCAAATTGACCCATCATTACAAAACGCTGTGAAAACCCTAAACCAAGACAATGCCACTGCCTATTATACTGGGCAATATTCCAGTGTGAGTTTCTACATGCGTCTATATCCATCTCATATATTTTGAATGTCACATATATGAGTTAAATTTGGAATAGCGTATTTTCAGTGCTATAGAATATCTAATCTGAAGTTTAGTCTGAATCTAGGGCTCTGAGGCACAATAAAATAATGATAAATGGAGTATTTGACACATGCATTGTTATTATTACTATTATTTACTTAATAATCCATAGTTTGTTTCCTGAAGCTTTTGAAACTATTTGGAAGTGGTACAAAGTTTAATAATAAAATAATGTATTAGTTGAATGGTGCCCATAAGTTCCATTGTTTTGGAACGTGGCTGTGCTAGGAATGCTTTGGCAGGCTAAAACTTTGAAGCTCTGCTTCTGGATCAGTGGTCAAAAAGTGAGCCGCTTCATCCCTAGAAAGTTCACTGTGAAGTTTTTTGGTTTGTTTTTGTTTTTTTAACTCTAGATATTATTGAGTTTTGCAGAATTTCTGGATTTATTGCTTAATCTTAGATTCTGGCCTCAGATTACTTTGCTTTACTTTACATTTATCAGCCACAATCCCTGTCATAAGACCTTGAGAGAACTTTTTCGGTTCAAGTGTTTAAGATGATTAAAACAAGATTACAGTTACCTAATTAAGGTAATACTGGCTCATTTTGTCTAGCTCTTAAAGCTCTTAGGCCTGCTTGCTTATAGGATCTGTACAAAGAATAATCTCTGATACCAGCAATTGTTTTTTATTCCTGTCCATCTCACTGCCACTTGTGTAATTTGCTATCTGTATGCTTTTTGGCCAAGGTCAGCTTTTTTAACTTGTTTTGTGTGGTGTGAGGGGTGGTTTTTTCCTGTTTGAAGTTACTTTTAAGTTTGAAGTACTTTTAATTAGATTAACTAATCTGTTACTAGCTTGCTGAATACAGTTTTTTGTTATGTTAGTTTCTTATTGTTCTTCTTGAATTAAATATAGTTCCAGTTAAGTGTTTGTAGTCATTCTTTGGATTCTACCAATTTGTGGAACACTTACATTAAAGAGTCCATCTAAAAGAAAAATGAGTAGTTAGTCTTACGCTTCAATATGCGTTGTGTGCAGCCTGGAAAGTCTTATAATTTTATTTTTTTAGCAGGTAGGTGAAGACAATAGTGTGTATTCTGGAACTGGGCATTGATTTTTACTTCTAAAGTTTTAAAAATCATTCTTGGTCTGTATTATTGGAAAAAATCATGCAAAAAAAATCACAAATGAAATGTTTGAGTTGTATATCGATGTGTACCCATATCTGCATTTTTTGTGAAAAGCATAAATATTTAAGTATTTTTGATACACCCTAAAATTCGCATTTAAACTTAGATTTTGACCATATGGCTAGATTATACAGAGCACCTACTGTCACTGTGTAAAGTTTTGGGACTAGGTTGCTTGCTTTGGTTGTCTGAAAAATTCACTGTCCTTCAAAAGTTTCCAGGAAAAGTTGAATTGGAAGTTACGTTGCTGTCAAGATAGAGCCTCAGACCCTCCACCCCTTTAATATGACACACGGCCTACGTTTTATGGTGGTTTTTACCATTTTGCACTCACATACCTCACATTCCCATGCAGCCTTCCAGGTGCCGTTGTGGTTCTTAGCTACCCAGTATAACACTGGTAACGCTGATGTCAACTAGTTCATCGGTTCCTACTTCTTTATCACTTATTCAGAGTAAACTTAGCTTTACATTATGTCTTAATTTTGACTTGACTTACTAGACAACCTAATTCGTATCTGCCTAGAAAGACTGAAGGCAGCTTGATGTTTTAAAGTGAGTGGCTTGTGGATCTTTGTAAATTCCATGGCATACTTTGATTTTACTTCAGAAATATGGTCAAAAAACAGTGTTAATTATGCAAAAGGAAGATAAATCAGTAAGCAGTGGCAGAAGGGAAATATAGTCCTGCTGCGTGCTGCTTTATTGGTTTCAACAGTACTGATAGAAGGATTAAAGGAAAGACTGTTTAGTTACAACCTTTATCAATGCCAACATGTTTAAAGGGGTTGACTGACTATCAGGAAATGTTTTCAGAATACGGCCTTATTCGTAGGCCTGGCTTGTGTTTTATGTGCTGCCAAATTTTTTTTGTTAAGTCACATATTTGTCACATATTTGCCATATCTGTAAAGAAGGAGCAAAGGTTGTGGAATATAACTTAGTTATTCTACAGCCTTCAGAAATTTAAATGGATAATACCTGGAGTGTGAATCTGTGTTTAATCTCAACTTTATCTTAAAGTTTTTGGCAGAGTATAGTGAAACATGCCTTCATTATTAATTATTTTGAGATTTAAGACAAAACTGTAACAACAGTTAAATGTTACTAGTTTCTTCACGATCAGTAATACACCTTAGCAAGTAAAACTCTTGATGTACATTATTTTATAATTGAATATAGGGGCTATGGTATGCATTGACATGATACTTTTAGCATGTTGATCTCTGTCAGTGGCAGTCGTGATTGGTATAATTCTGCCCTGTTACCTTGTGTGGAATATAATTACTGAATGAGGCTCTACTCCTTAGTCAAAAGGCTTGCGGTGTTGTTAAAAACGTCCTTGAATTTACAGGGACTTGTATCATATCATAACTGCAAGAAACGTTTTTTCTAATATGATAGTGGCACAGTACACCACAAGAGTCATTATCCCGCTCAGGGTACTGGAACAGCTCTTGTTTTATTAATATGTAATATTTCTCATGTTTCGTTGCATCTTTACTGATTTGTCCTGTGATATGCTGAGCCCAGTAAGATTCACTTACTCGTCTTTCCCTTCATGATGCATGTTATTTGGTAGATGTGCTTCCAAGCAAAGTTTGCAAATTAGAAAAATTACTATCACGCTAGTCCTCCATCCTTATGCCTTGTGTTTTGTTGCTGTGGTGTTATTTTTGAAGCCTGATAAATGCCATGTACAATTCATCAACAAAAATACAGTAAAAGGATAAGATTTAGAGAAAAAACTTGTTCATTTCAATAAAGCTTGAATGCTTTTATTGAGTAGCTTGAGAGAGGCATTTAGTTTTTTACTAAAAACTTGAGACAAAGTACATTTTTGGAGGTAGTAATACTAATGTCAGTATGCTTTCATTGCCTTAGTAATGGAAGCAGTAGACAGGCATTACTGAGGTAAATCAAATGTTAGTAATTACCTATGCTATTTACCTGTTATTCTACTAATAAAGACCTCCATTTTTGGAGCTCCTCCACTTTTAATCGTATTTTAATTTGTTAAACAGTATTTGGACTTTTTAATTTTAAAAATAGTAGTTATAGTTACAAAACCCGACTAACTAGGGTCTTTGACTTCGTAATAAACAGAAAGTTGGTACATTAGAATTCTGTGGGCATCTTTTGTTTTCATTCTATTTCAAGTGAGCGTTTTTTATATGTAGGATATTTTTGTCTAGGAAAGAGGTGAGAATTTTTACTTCAGTGCTTGAGGGTTTATCTTTATCAAATTGTCCTTTATTAATGAAGATCTGAAATCTTGGAATTATGGTATGTGATGTTTATTTTAAAAAGATACTTTTACGGACAGAACAAAGAGTATGGTAACAAAAAAGAGGTTAAATCTTTCTGTGCGTTTACTGTCTATTATTTCTCTATTGTAGTGCGGTTGGCACGTTTGCTCGAGCGCTGGACTGCAGTAGTTCTGTCAGACAGCCTAGTTTACACATGAGCGCAGCTGCTGCTTCCCGAGACATCACACTGGTGAGTGGCTTGTTTGAAAATCCTGCAAAGTTTGCACCTCTAGAAATTCAACAAAATCTACTGCTCGACAGTCTCTATCCTCCAGAGGTCTGCTTCCCTCTAGATAGCTGCTTGCAAGGTGTCTTTGTATATAGTAGATAATCCTGTGGGTTTTCTGTAAGGCTGTTGGTGCTGCCTCTTGGGATCATGCTATAAATCAGTTGACTTCAACAGAAATGTATTTATATATAACATCCTCAAATGTGGCAGTTTGCACAGTAGCAGTGTATAAAGCACATTGTATAAAGTTTCACTCAATATGATTGATCATAGTGTTGATTTAAAGTATATTGGAATAACACTGAACATTGTCTAGATAATATCATGCTATACATACTCACACCTATGTGTCTGTAAGTTTTGTAAACAGTATAAACAATCAGACTTTTTTAGTAACTCTTTGAAGAACTTTTTACTTAGTATGTCCTTAGGATGTTTCCTTAGGATGTTGAAATATTAATGATATAAGTGACTGCATCTTTCAGAAAAAGTTGAAGTGCATAGATGTTACAGACCAAAGTTTTGTCCCTGTATGTTTGTATTTATTGAGGTGATGAAACATGCTACAGTAGTAAAAGCATGCTAGGAAAACTATGTGCAAGCAAAATCTTACTGTTTGATAGAATCAAATTTGATTTAGCTTACCAAAGACACCAGCCAAAGGACTTTGTTATTTTAAGAATTTGTGTTCAAAATTAGATAAAAGGTAAGGGTCCTGTAGAGCTGTTGTTCATCAAATACCCGAGTATTGCAGCTACGGGGCACTCAGTGAAGCTAACAGATCCGATTAAAATAGGTAAGATACTACGTTACTCGTTGAGTAGAGAGCCTCTGGAATTTAGTGCTGTAAGAACCAACAATATCAGCAGGTTAAAAAAGGAGTTTCAAAAGTTACGGATAACAGATCCATAAATGGTTACCAATGAGAATGGGCCATCTAGCATTCCTAATTCCCAAGGGTTGCGGATGTTGGAGAATGAAATGGGAATGAACCTCAGAACGTGGTTAGACTTGCATATTCTCGGGGTTGCATCTCCTGGTTCTTCTGTCAGAGATAGAATATTTGGGTAGATGAATTATTGGTCTGACCCAGTAGGGCAGCTTTTGTATTTTAGGTAAAATACATTCATTAGTATGCTGAGAAAAATATTTAACTTCTTAACATTTTGCAGAGTACTTATAGGCTATTACACAGGGCCTCAGTCTGGACTACTGTAGCCTAATCAAGAAAGTGGCAAAATGTAATGTTTTCAGTAATACTCAAGAGAATTTCTTCTACGTTCAAAAGATGCCTTTTCTGTTTCCTACTCCCTAATATGACCTTAGTGACATAATTCTATTCACATTAAATGTTTTATACTTTTTTCCCATCAAAATAGTTCTCCAGTTTAGTATTTATCATTTTATTAAGATTTTGTTGGATCGAGAATTTCTAATAATTCCCACAGAATGCAGGTCTTTTTTACAGCATTCAGTGATTAATATAATAGATTCATCCCTATTGCAATTTCTTTTTGTTTGAAAGTCCATGTGCAGTGCTGCTAATAAAGGAATACATTTAGCGTTTGAGTGCCATATAAATGTTTCTTCCTTGCAAATGATCCATTAAGTTCCATTACACTTAATGAAAGGCATATCTTATAATGAGGCACCAGAGGAGCTACCCCAGGTTTAATTATTGTGTCTGTCTGTTCTTTCTCATTTTCCTGCCCCCTCAGCTTTTTAAAACCTTTCTCTTTTGCTCCTTGTAATGTACTCCTGTCTAAGTTAAGAAAAGACATACCTGTCTTTATAGTAGTTATTCTTTCCTATGTTCCCCTGTTAATTGGGAGCATGTTTTGAGTAGCACTTTGTACAGACATTTGCAAAAGTTATAGTGTATTTCATTAACGCTTTAGAGGTGATGTAGGTGCATAACACTAAGAAAATTAGTTGTTTCAGTCAGAGGTGACTGTAAACAGACTAATATTAAAAAAAAGGGGGCACAGGTTATAAACATGAGTAAATTGAGGATGAGCGTGCACATTAGGGAGGTTTTGCAGCTTAGCCTGAAAGTAACCTCTCACTTGCTGTTTTCTAATCTCAAAGACCTGGGGAAGGTAATGAGACAAGACAGGAAACTGCCAAGTCATTTAGAATATCCTGCGGAAGGACATGAAACCGTGTGGGCTTAACTCCTTAGACAGTAGAAGTGGCCATAATGTCTTGAAGCAATGTGGGATTTCATAGTCTTTTTCTCTTGCAGTGATAAAGACTTGTGAGACATACAGCTCACTGAAACATATTTCTCGCCTTCTCATACCCAGTGTTTTCTCTAATAAGGAAATTTGATCTCTGAGAAGAGAAAGAAACTGGAAAGACTTACTGTTTCAGATTCCTGAATGTTGTATAGTGCATACATTGAGAGGCATTAAAGTGAAGTAGGTTGACAAAATCACTGCGCTTGCGCATTCTGAGTAGCCTGTGTTACTTTACTATAAGGAATTAAATTGTGTTCCCTAATGAGTTGTGTAAGACTTCTGTATAGGTAGCTGTGCAGTAAACATGTTTAAAATATTATTGTAGTATTCAGATTCTGTTTCTAGCTTGAGTGCTTGGATGGGGGCTGTTCAGTCTAGCTGGTTTAATTGACTACTGAAATGGCAGCTTGTTTTTGGAACTGCATGCTACAGCTTGTTTGCAGCACGCACTGCTACCCCCTTTCTCCCTGGATCCATGCTGCCTTTCCTTGGCTTGACGAATAGTCCCACCTGCACAAGTTCCCTCTGCCAGCCTGGCCTAAACCTTCCCGCTGATGCAGGGAAGCTCTGGGCAAGCCCTCTTTTGGGAAGGGCCGTTCTCCCTCTATTCTCCAGGGTCTACTTTGGGAGAGGCACTGACAACTCTTCCCAGCCTCCTGCTCCTTATGCATCATGTACCCACTAGCAGTTTTTTGTGATCCTCAGATCCTTGGGCAAGGCAAAGAAACTCCAGGATGTTTTGTCATGGGCTCCAGTAATGTCTTCAGGCTGCTCTTGCTTTTGCTGGTATGGTTCACTCACTGCAGTGTGGGAATCTGATTGAAGGTGGGGGCTGACAAACCTGCAGAAGGCAAAGAGTGTTATTGTGGGAACTTGTCAGTGGTAGTCTCTCAGACAGCTGAGTGAAGGCAGTATTTATCTACTGAGTTGTTTTCTGTGCATCTCTTTTTGAGATGCATGCAACAAAAAAAACACTTATGAAAGATGTTTATTATAGATGCAAAAATGATGTAAAGCAAGAGCAAGATCCTGATTTATTTGCTTCTGTTCTCATTTTTAAGAAAACTGGTTATCAGTGAACAGATCTGGATTTAACAGCTGCTTGGAAAATGTGCAGTGTTTTTCTGTAAGTGGTGAGATTTAAACACATTTAAACCTTGGTAAGGAATATGCTGTAAGAGTTCAGTTGTTAGGCCTGGTTTACTCATCGGCTGGGCGATAAGTAACTATTCAGTAATTTATTTTACATTCTCTAATCTGAAGGTTGTGTATTTTAGACATTATTATATAGCATCTCCATATTAGAGCATTTCTCTTTAAGAACGGCTCCTTCTCAAGGCTCAGGGTTCTCTAAGCTGAACCCTGTGTAAAATGACCCACTGTAGGATAAAGGCAACATTACTTCTTGCAGATGAAACAGTTCAAGGATCCTGTCCTTGGTAGCTCTCCAAGAGGTATATTGGAAGCTGGAGGAAAAACCCTAGCCACTCCTAGCTATCCTAAGAGATAGCAACAGATTAGGATAATTTATTACTTGTGATGCATTTATATCCAGAAGCTCAACTGGAATTGCTCTGTAAGCGCTATACTGACACATAATGCGAGCCTGTTCCTGTCCTGAAAGGTTTCAGGTGCCCTGTCTTGTAAGAAGGGTTTAGGGCTGTGTGCGAGGTTGCATGCTACTGTTGCAGCTGATCCCTGTGGTGGGCCAAACGGGTTGGAGCTTGATGTCACGCAGTTGCTTGTTTTGCAGGTGTATTGTGCTTTATACTTCTAATACCTCCTTCAGCACAACAGTTTAAGGTTTTGTGATAGGAGTTTGGGGATGCTGAGGCAGAAAGGCTTCTTTGCTGTTGATCATCTTCCCTGTGGGTGGATCTGTGGTGTAGGTACTTTACATATTCCCCATCAGTTATGGTGATGTGAGTATTAAGAGATGGCTCTAAACAGGCTAAGTGAAGGATGCTGTAGCCTGTTTGTTTTCTGTTTTCTTCTTTTGCAAAGGAAAACGAAATAAAGAAACCTATCTTAGTAGTCTACAGAAACAGTGTTTAGCAAGGGACAAAAATCTTGTTTGTTTTTCAGTGTGATGATAGTGAAAAGAATAAATGATTGTTTCCTTCCGCAACAGTGAGAATACTGAGCACATAGACTATGTCTTGAGTATTTAGCTGCTATTGAGAACTTTTGTTTAGTTGAAAATGGCTCCTCAGTCTCTCCTCAGATAGCATGATAGCATGGCACTGTGTCTCTATTGGGTTACTCGCAACTGGTTTCTACCAGCTAAAGCTTCTGTAGAAATATTTACTAGTAATTTGCAGGAACTAATTCACTAGAGTCATTTTTGATAAACATTTTATTATGGCATTTCTTTTCCCAAATTAGGTAATAGAACAATTTAGATTTTCCTTACATTTCATTACAGAAAACGTATGACATCAAGATAGATTCTAAATCTAGCATTAGTTAAAGCTTGTTGCATGGCATATGGTAAATAATATATTGAGTCTGCATTGATTGAAATTGACTGCTCTCTAATTCAAGAAGTTTTCTTAACTGTGTCCTTCTCTTTGCTAGTTTCATGCAATGGATACGTTGCATAAACACAACTATGATTTGAGCAGTGCCATCAGCGTTCTAGTCCCGCTTGGAGGGCCTGTTTTGTGTAGAGATGAAATGGAAGAATGGTCAGCATCAGAAGCTAGTTTATTTGAAGAGGCACTGGAAAAGTATGGGAAGGACTTCAATGACATTCGACAAGACTTTGTAAGTACTGAAGTAGTGCACTTTTGTGTTGTGTTTTTGCATGAGTGAGCGTAACTGCTCTCTGTAGTTTCTCTTGAAAGATTAGCTAGAGGAGAAATGTGTGCATTTAATATATGTAATTAACATACATATACACATGCACTCACATATATATGTATACGCACAGAGACACACACACATATATATATATATATATAAAATCCAGATGAAAGTGAATATTTTTTCCTGTTCATTGCCATTCTTCGGAAAGATGTTGGCAGAAGATAATCTGTTAAATGGCTTAATACCAGGTAGGGTGTCTCACGTGCTAAATTCTCATGTATTTTGATAAGGATTTTTGCAAGATTCTGAAATTCCAGAAACTTTTCAGAACTTTTCCAAAAGCTCCATTGAAATTCATTAGCAGCTACACGCCTCACTCCCCTGAGTGCTTTTGGAAACTCTGAGGTTTCCTTCTATGATTAGCAGAGAGAAATCCTTACGCAGGTAGCTTTCAAAGTGCACTACAGGGAATTATTTTGACACATTCAGTACGAAGACACTTCTGAAAAGTAGAGGAGGTGTTCTCCCATACTTTCTAACTATGCTGATTTTGATTCTGAAGCATCAGACTTTACAAATTGCTGAATTCTAATGCAAAGTAATGAAAAGGAAATGATTTTTATTCACTTGTTGCTGGGATTTTTAGTAATTTATTGGTGATTTTGTTGCACGTTTTTTGCAGAGTCTTCCTTTCTCTCAATGAAAAAGACTTCTTTTGTACAAGTTCTTGTGAAGATTTCATTTTCTTTACTCTGAAAGATCAGTTTCTATCTTTGCAGGTGGAAGTCCATGTTGTATTACCAATGGGTGGTGTTATTAGCGATCTTTGAGGGGAAAACCTTACAGATTTATAAGATATATGATGTATGTAGATGATGTAGAGAAATAGAAGACCTTCCAAGAAAGGCACATGGGACACTGGGAAGAAATTTAGCACTGAGTATTGGTGATATCTGTCTTCACTTTTGCAATTCTAAAGTGAAACATGATTAAATGAAGGTGAGAAAGGAAGGCTGTTGTTTTTTTGAAAAATTGTCGTTTTAATAGGTGTGATAGCTGTGTGCTTCCCTCTGAGATCCCTAAGGGAGAAAACGTTCACTGCATTCATCTCATAAGGATGAAAGTTATATTGTGGATGAAATAGTTCTGTTTAAGAAAATATGAGTGGAAAAGCATATTTTATAGAGTGTTAGAGCTGAAATCTTAATATAAACTGCGGTCACTTATTTAATGCATAGATATTGAGATAAATGGCTCCTCACTTGTTAATGTACGCTAGTTAGGTATCTTGATTGTAGCTATGACTTCTAATTATCCATAGTGTGTTTTGCTTATAATAATTTGTAACACATACAGTTCCAATGTTTAAGATGCCTAAAGCATCTATTACACGTTTTATTCAGTGTTTACAAACTGAATCCTAATAAAAATTGTGACCAGCTAAACCTAAGCCTTGTGGCTTGTGTTTAATACTTCTGATTTTCTCTATAATTTTTGTGTGGTGCTACGCGTAGTTAAATTCTGTTGATAAGCATATGTTACAGTGTTGTAGTGGAGTCTTGCATTGCAGACATCTCTTTTACGTGTGCAGTGCTCAAATGCTAGATATTTGAGTGAGCCTAAAGAAAGCTACTTAAAATGTTTCTTTTATCTCAGGTGGACTCCTGATACCTTCTTCCTTTTACTGCCTCTTCCTTTCCAAAACACAGATCGCGCGCTCTCTCGCGCGCTCTCTTATCCTCCCAGAATGAAAGAGAGAGAAAAGTTTAGAGGTAGAGTTGAGTAATCTACTGAGGGTATGTTAACGATGACTCAAAGTGGAACACAAATGGATACGCGTTTTTATTCAATTATAGTCTCTTTTAGTTAAAAGAGGGATATTGTCTATCCTTAGTCACTTTTTTTTACCTTTGGAAAAGTGGCATGTCATTTTTAAAACATCATTGGAAGAACATCTATTTCACGTATCAATTTCTGTAGTATTAGTAACTTAAAGTTATATCAAGATTCTGTGCTACGTTATATCAAGATTCTGTGCTACGTAATTTGGAAGCTTTCGGTCATATTAATATTTATGTAATTCGGCGAGTTGTCTTCATTTCTCTAGAGTAAGATTTATGTATTCCCACTTGCTATGTAGTATTTTAAAAGTATAGACCTTTAAAAACAAACATTTAGTTGAAAATAATTATCTAAAATAATCTGTTCAAGATTTCGATCGTGCATATATGAACAAGTTTCTGCAGGGTGAGGTAGGTGTGAATTTATAGCACTTATGATACAATTATCACGAAGAATACTTTTATCCTGTAGTAAATGCAATATGTTCTTTTCCCTCTTTTCACTGACTAGGTAAAATAAGTTACCTTTATGTTTGTTGTAAAAGCATGAGCAAAGCAGCTAATGAGCCAGTAGTATACATGCTAACTTAGTATACACTTAATGATTTGGTTTTATATCTTTTGACTAAAAGGTAATGCGATAAAAGCACGTTGGTGTCTAAGCAGTCAGCCTGATGGTGCCACAGCACTGGCCGGATTTTTGTGTGGTGTGATGGAAAGCGATTGGTAGCAATATACTAAAGCGAAAGACTTACGTAGTACCCACTTGAGTCATTATATATTAGAAGAATTACGTTTTCAGAATGATCCTGACTTTGCAAGACACGGTAACTGCAGTTGCAACCCTTACATTACAGTTCTCTAAAGCGCAAGTTCATTTACTTTTCCAGCAACTAATAATTGCTGGCACTATTTGACGTTCAAAGTGCAGCTCAAGCATTAAGGTATAAACATTAAATATTAGTAGGCAAGATAATTGTCATAAACTAAATGATGTAAAGGAGTTTACCTCTTTTAATAGACAGGAGAAACTTAGTTGTTATCAAATTACAGTCCAGCCTTTGAATAATCATTTTCATCTGTTGTTGACTCATCAACTGCTGTAGGATCTCATTTACTGAGGTACTGCTATGTGTGAGAACCTATGTAAATCCTAATGAACCTAAACTTTTAAAGTTAATTGAGTTAACTTGAATTCCTTTACATTCCAGGATAGTTGAATGGGAAGAGAGCAAATATTTTATGTGCTCTAAACAGAACTGTTTTCCTGATTGTTAAGGACAGTTGTTATGGTGTCTTCTATACTGCTTGTTAAATTCTTAGTTTTTCCATTATCACTGTTTTTCACAGATTTGTAACTTTCACATTTCAGATATGGCAGGAAAGGCCTTAGGAATCAGACTCAAGCCATTTAAATAAAACAGGAGCAAGATTCCAACTTCAGAAAACTATGGAAACATGCTTTAACGTTAACATACACATTTTAAAATGTTTTAAAATACTAAGTTCTTCCTACTGGACTGATTTGAGCGGTCCATTTTTATCCTGCAGAAACTAATGAAATCGAAAATTGCCTCTTCCTGTTTTTCTGCTGCTGATACCTCATTGTTAGTTTCCTCCTACAAAACGTCATGCCATGTTTGCCACGTCATTTGTATTTCTTTCAGTCAGCGTTTAATAGAATTTGATAATGAGAGTACTTTACTCTGTGACTGTTTCCAGCTTTTATGGCCATTAAGGGCAGCCTCTGGAAAATTCATGTGCCTCTACAGAGTTTTATCGTTTAGGTATTTAGGTAAACACTTAGGATATTCATACTCAGCATCTCAAACAGGTTTTCTGAGTTGTGAATCAAATTGTAAAGGATTATGGTTATCTAATCAAAACACCTTAATTATCTGTAATTGATTGCAGTTGCCTACTGAGTAAGTGAACCTACTAGTATTGTCACAATCACAGTTAACTTGAAACAGATAAAAGTATTTTCTGGAGATATAGCAAAGATATCCACGGTACTGATGCGTTAATAGGAAAAGTATCTGAAAGGAAAACAAATGCAGAGAAGCTAAAATGGACTAGTCAGCAATGGCAGGTCAGTGGGGTGACAGACAGGCTTTCAGCTGGATCTCGTGAAGGATGTTGATTTAGGCACTGTGAAGCAACTCACCTGTGTTGGTCCACGGGCACCAAACACTCGGTCTCAGCCTTTTCTTGGGCAGAGTTCTCTTAAGGCATGATTTACCCGAGAAAATGAAAGGATGTTAGTAAACTGAATTGTGTTGCTATTTGTTGCAAAGTCAGTTTATACATTTGTTATGCTGCTGTTTGGTATGGTTAAGTTAGATTAAATGTAAATGGACAAAACTGCTGTCACTTAGACCAGAGGTTTACCCACCGTGGTGCATCACCTCAGAAGTACACCACTGAACCTGGATCAGAATCCCAGCTCCTGAAAGGCAAAGGTGGGAGCAAAACTCAGTTCCTCTAAGTGTTTGGAAAAAAACAACAGCAACAACAACAAAAGCGGGCTATGAGCGCCTGCATGCTGGGAGAGGCAACTTGATACAGGGTTGTTCTGCTGCTTTTAGGAACTCGCTTAAAGATTCAGGAGCCTGCGCTTTTAGCTTAGGACATGGAGAAAGCCCCAAAGTGGAGTCAATAGGGTTGGAAAGATAAGTTTCCACATCTTGCGTTTCTGGGACTTTCTAACTTTCAGCCTTATCCCTGGAAAGTAAAAGTTACTGATGTTAATGCATGCATCTGTAAAATACCATGCGCAAACAGTGGCCTTTTTTTCAGGCTGTGAAGAAAAATTGCGTGAATTTTGTAAGAGAATAACTAATTACAATGATTGAGATAATTCATGCAGTGGACTAGATAATTCTATAGCAATTACGAATGGCTGCTATATCGTTCATTTTCTTCCCTAAACTCAGGCTTACATATCTTTACTTTTCCAATGAACACGTGCACACAAACTCGTAAACCGGGTTATTCTAGTAGTAATCATAATAAAAAGTTCCAAAAATTTATGAAAGACCAGCTGTGTTATATGAGCCATTTAGTTTTTATGGGACTTGAAGAACCTGTGAATTAAGTGCTGTGACTGATGTATTTTTAAGCGCAAAATTATCATGAGCCTCCAACACATTCTTGTCAAGATGATTCATTTTAGTCCTGAATGTTGTTTTCCATCTGCTACATTTTATAATAGAGATATTACTGTCTGTGTTTCCGGTTGCACTACATATCATTTATTTTAAACATAGGGTTTACACATACAAATCCAGATATAATTTACTGTATATAATACTGCTTTAATCCTGCATCTGTGTTATCCATAAAGAAAGTTTCTATATTTGTAGTAGTATATGAATTTATATAGGTATGTATTTTAATGTAGGAATGTAATGCATATACATTCTAATATTTATAGATCAAATATAGGAGATGTTAATATATGTTTAATAGGATGTGGACATTGCAGTTTCTTGGAACCACTCTAATTTGTAACAAATGTTTTCCAGCTTCCTTGGAAGTCACTGACCAGCATCATTGAATATTATTACATGTGGAAAACCACTGACAGATATGTACAGCAGGTAATCTAACACCTATTTCAACATGAACAAGTCTGCCATGTTCTTAAAAAGAGTTGGGGGGAGGGGAAAGCTTGTTAAAGCATAAAAATTTGTTTGTGGTGCTCTTAAAGACACGTGGTGGGAGACGTGTGGTAATACTTTAGGCTGTAGACCAGTAGTTTTGTGTGTTCACAGGGTGCGTTGCCAAATCCTTGGATGCCTGGAGTTCATCACATAGCTGTGAAGAGCCTTTTTGTATTGTATGCTGGTTTATAGCAACGCAATTCCAGTTCCTTGCTACAGATAGGAAGGAGGTGGGCTGCAGAACAAATGCAATAAGCTTTGAAGCTGTGCATAGGATTAAAGGAAAGGCAAAATATGTTATGTTAAAAGTCATCCCTAATGTTATGAACCTTTTCTTGATAGTCCATGATAAGAAGTTAATTTGATATTATCAGGATTTGAAAACAAAAGTTGAGAACATTCTGCACGTAGTGAATGTGGCATCCTTCTGAATGAGTGTTCAGCTGTTTGAGTCCCTGTGCAGCAAAAACACGAGAACGTGCTGGGCACCTACACGGGGATATTAGAAGCAGGTTTAAGCAAAACTTGAGTATTAGTGCTTTCTATGTATTGTACTCTTTGTAATATTTATGTTACGTACAGAATGTTTAAAGTAAGTTTTATGTTGTTGTGATTGCAGCTGTGTCCTTAGGTAGAGCTTTACAGTTGTTCCATGTTTAGTTGCAGTGTGTCAGAAGGATGATTGCCCCAGATTGTTCTGTTTTTTTGAAAGTGTGTCTGCATCTCCTTGTTAGAGTATAAAAAGTCTTATACCACACAGTAGAGTCTTAGACTGTGACAAGGACCTTTTAGTGCTGTGGTAATACAAATAGAAAATAGTTCTGCTGTGTATTAAAGAATGTATTTTCTGTTTGTCTCCATTGATTTAACTTTTTTAACACTTTCCTTAAGCTATTAATCTCTATCTTAGGAAGATATTGCCAGCAGAGATTTGCCGTGCCGTTTTTCAGCTTTTAAGAGTTGCTCTTGAGAGACCGATGGAGGATCTTGAAAGATCAGATGAAAAGATTGTATAGAGACTGAAAGCCTTAGGAGTAAAGATAAATTGAATTGTAAATTGACTTCTGTCAACCTGCTTAGGTTGCTCAGAGACTGATCTCTGTTTTCCTGTGAATTTTTTTCTGAAATAATTGCTCTAGAGTGGCTGGCAAAAGATATTGAGATGGAATTTTTTTTCCTATCGTTCTCCAGGGCTTCGTTATGACTCTGTTGCCACAACATTCGAGATGTGTGGCGTTCTACTGAGTTTATGTATCTCTCTATAGAATTAGATTTTTAGCTTCAAATACAAAAAGATCATCTAGAAATACTGCAAAAGGCCTTATGGTTATCCCGAACTTCAATACTCTTACAGACATAAATGTCTATTTTTTGCTTGGCTTGTCCCTAAGTAAACTTGTAACATCCTAATTTCCAGCATGGCATTGCACTCTGAGATCTAAAGCTATAGAGATGTTCTTTCAGGGTCATGCATCATCATCGATAATAAAAACACTATAGGCCAAACTGTCTCATTTCTCTCCTGGTTAACATTTCTGTAATCCTTCCCAACAAGAAATTGGAGAAATCCAACAGGTTAAAACTTTGTCCTGTCATTGTTTAGTTTGTTCTGGAATGGTAAAAATAGTACAGTTCAGTGAAGATGGTATCTATGGGTTTTCTACACCAGAACAAGCTATGATGATTAAATACATGCAGGGAAAAAATATGTTCAGTACAAGAGTAGCAATTCCAGGGTCATTCTTTTCTAAATGTCATGCCTGAGAGGTAGGACAACTTGGGAGAATGGGAAAAGAAAATGCTGATGTACGTACTTGAATCTTATTCATACATAAGATACAATCTTTGAATTTTAGATCAGTGTGATTTAATATGAAAAACTGGTATGTAATGTTCTGTTTATTTTGTCATGTGGATTGGATGCATGTAGGATAGATATAAGATAGATATCATTGCCATGTCCCTAGATGGTACTTTTGCTTGGTAGCTAAAGGTGATGTTTTAATGGGGATGGAGATGTTGCTGTCACCTTGCCTTCAGAACATGACCCTTTCAAGTCAAGGTGAAGGGAAATAGATAAGTTTACATATCTACATATCTGCCTGTATTGAACCTGTCTAGCAAAACTAATTCAGGTCTTTGGTAATCATTCTTGGCAATCTGGCACTTTTCAGACCACTGCATTATATAGTTTTCTGCTTAAAAATCTGGTTCAATGCAAAAATCTTGTACTAAGGCTTTTCAGCAGGAAAATTGTGTGTGTAGGCAAGGGTTCCCTTTTGCAAAGCTACTACAAATTCATTCATTAGGCTAGAGAACAGCTAAGTTCAAACTAGTGTTTGAACAACAATATAGTGCATTTTCTTCCCATTTATTTATTCTCTGTTGAAAACATTACTTACATAGGGAAGTGATCATTCCTTGGGATATTTGTCAGCTGATATTCATAACAAATTTTCTAGAAAAGAAATACCATTCAGTTTTCAAGGGTAGTTGAGTAAAAGCAGTGCCGACCAAATGAAAAGCTGAGATTATTTAGCTTGACTTCTTCTCTAATGCAGTCTGTAAGACTTTCTTCAAGTAGTTGCTGTTTAAAATCAGATGTATCTTTTCGAAAAGTATCATCTCTCCTGGTTAAATTGTTCCAGTGATTAATTATCCTTCTTGTTGCATACTGGTGTTTTGTTTCTTGTCTCAATTCGTCTAGCTTCAACTTCCCGCCTTTTCCTATGATACTGAGGAACCTTTTATTATCCGATTTGATCTCTATGCATAATCATTTCTCATATATTTTCTCTAAACATTTTCAGTTTGCTAGTTTTCATCCTCCAACTGTCAACAGGCTCAGGTTTCATTTCAGAAACTGCAATTAGTTGTTCATGGTTTTGTTTCTGCATCCTTGCTTCTCTTTCTACACCTAAAAGTTGATTGATCAGTGTGAATTCAAGCAGTGACATTTTCTGTTGCTTCAAAGGACCAATGTTAACCGTAGTTTTAGTACATAAAAATATAGCTTATGCTAAAGTAGTACTATGTGATTATTTTGCAGAAGAAAGTATATGGTTCATTTTAATAAATAAAGGAGGAAAGGAGTTGCAAAAATTTTATTCCATAGAGCCCGCATACCAGTATTAAAGGTATGCTAAAATTTAGTTAGTGTATATACTCACTTTTCACTGATGCTGCCCGCAGGGCCTTGGAAAAGCTTCCTACAAATGCCTTTAAATTTTGACACTACTTCAAGGCTACTTACCTAATTTCTTTTAGTTTATCATATTTTTTCTCTTTTGCTCTGATGATAGGTGTGCAGTGAGATTTATTTTTTCCTCTTTGTACAGTGGGCCCAGTTTCTTAAGAGTCTCAATGAAATGCAGATTATTTCCTAACCTGTTTCTTCAGTTTGAAAGCCAAATATATGTATAGTTGGGTATAATATGAAAAGGGGAGAAAAAAATAGTTGTGGACACCCTTTGGTCTGAAGCTCTTAAGTAGAAACAGTTCACCGTTGAGAGCTGTTCTGCTGGAGCTCTAAAGTGTTCTCAGCTTAGAAACTGTTAGTATATGAGGCTTGGCAAACGCTCCTCTCTTTCCTCACTCTTGTAAAAACTGACTTAAGCAAGGCAGAGCATACCACGGTTGAATTTCTGCGATGGGCCTATTGAAGGTAGCGCAATGCCACTGAGGACAGAGCTATGTCACGTGTAACTGAGATGAAATTGGAAGTCGCCGCAGCTCAAAACATGAGTAGGAACATGTGAGCAGCAAAAAGCCTGTGAAAAGCCTATCTCGACAATAAATGGAAAAGGACTCTCATATCCCATAGGAATTAATTTTTGATGGTACCAGTGCATGAATTGTTCCTCAGAGACGCAGTGAAAAAGCAGTTTTTATAAATGAGAGGTATGTTGGGGAGACACAGGCAACTTTCTCAAATGGAAAGGAGCAATAGTTTTACATGAGGAAGCCTACTCAGGCTATTCAGCCTTTAAAGCTTATTAACCTAGTAAGTCTCAGGTGTCCCAGAGCAAAGAGGATGATACTTCTCTCAGCGGGGGAAGTACCTTCCTGGATTCTGAACCTTGCAGAGACTGGGTATCAAAAAACAGGAGTAGAGCAGAGGAGCAAATTGGCAGCTGTAGGAGAAACGGAGATTGGAGTTTTGAACACATGCTGAAGAAAGGGGGAATCTTGAGAGGCAGAGAGATACTGTTGACTTATTGCTGGAAATCAATGTCTTTTTTTAATTTTATTTTTCCCCTTAATACAATTGACCTTGTTCAACGCCTTTCCTCCCTTTTTTTCAAGTGAACAGAAATAATGTCTTGACAGAAATTAGGGAAATAACTCCCCCCCGCCCCTGATCTGCTAGGTCGAGGCAATGTTCCCGTAGACATCTGAACTCTGTATTTCTTGTACCAGTGCTGAAAAACATACTGTCATAGCTGCTCATGTCATCTCAAGTCTTTCACTGTTTCTGTTCTTTGTTTGGTTTGGGCTTTTTTAGGACTTAGCGCTCGTAACAGAAAAAACTGTTTTGTTTCTTGGTACTCATAACAGAAAAAACTCTTAAGTTTGGTTTCTTGCAGAATCTGTTTTAGGTGAGGGAGCTATGGGTTCCTGAATGCCTTTCTTCTGCGCCTCTGTTTACATGACGTGTCTGAGACAGAATCGCTTGGCTGTACCAATGAGATTCTGTAAGACTGAAAAAAACACATTAAGCCTTTGCAATTTTTTTTGTTTCCACATAAAGAAGCAAACGTTTTCATCATCCTTTTTCCTATCCCAATAAAAACTTAGTTAATCAAAGGAAGGGGAGCGGGGGGCTAGGAGCGCTCCAGAGGCTGGCGGAATCAGCTGTGACTGAATGTATGGCAGTAAGTGAAACTTCTCAGCATTTCAGAAGTTCCTGTTGCTTTGTGCCTAAGACTCTTCATTTTCAGTTTCATTTTGTCTGTTCTGGAGGTACCACACAGATCCTACTCTGGCCAGCATATCATATTTTTATGTTTTGTTTAAGTATACCTTTATGTTTAGATTGGATGTTATGTACTTTATAGCTCATGAGTAATTTTAGGACTTGTCACGCCATCCTGTTAAACCCTGTGGTGAAGATAATAAAATTCCACTCCTCCATGCCATAGACCTGATTACACGTGTTTTTTATTTTTTTACATACAACTAAAACAAATACGGAAAAAAAAAACAAGGCCAGAGTTCTCAGGCACCTGAAATATCCTTGCTGTCAGACGTGATAGAGAGGTAAAGATGTGAAGAATGACAAAACCCTTGTTGAAACCGGTGAACTCCAGGGGTCACCCGACAGTGACGTTTAGAGTATTTGAAAAACGCTAGTTAGTGTCTTCTGTTAACTTCCAAAATTTCTATATTCTTGCTCTTTCAAGGTGTAATGTGTTGAAGCTTTCAAGAGAAAATTGGAAAATTCTATGCTTTATTGAATATTCTTTTTAGTTACAAGTGCGCTGGCAATATATCAGGGGTAACTTTTTTGTGTGTGGTAAATCTGTAAGATCATACCAAATTACATTATCTTAAACAATAATATTATTTTGAGTGCAGCACTTTTTGAGTTTGTCACAAGCATGAAGAAAGTAATAGTTTAGTAAATTCACAGAATATCTTGGTAGTAGCATAGCATAGCTTTCCTGCTACTGCTCTGTTCCTGAGCTAGAGTTTTAGTGACATTTAAGGAAATAAGTGTTTAGTTCTTTCTAACAGTCAGTGGACTTGAGTATTCTACTTCCTTGTATTGCTTAGAAAAGCCTAGCCTTCAGCTTGATTGAACACACAGAAAGTATTGAATTACTTGACTCATTGTATGCACATTCACAAATTTATTTTTAAAGTACGCTTTCTATATTGTCCTACAAGGGTTAACCACAATGTCATATGTAATTGATATAAATTGTAATAGTTGTTTTTACAGGTTTGTCATCATCTGCTGAGCCTGTGAGATTTACTGTGGAAAGACAGTATATGATAATTTCCAACTAGTAGTAAGATTAGGAAACTCTGATTTCTCATGGTTTTCACCTTGTAGAATTCTACACTTGTTTTGGAGGCTCTTGTGGAATCACAGTATAAAGTAAAAATAATTTAAAGGTGGATTGTGTGTAGCTTTATGAATTTGCATACTTGAATATAATAAAATATTTTAACATGTTAATTTTTCAACTAGAAACGTCTGAAAGCAGCTGAAGCAGAAAGTAAATTGAAACAAGTATACATCCCCACCTAGTGAGTATAACAATAAAGTCATTTTTCGAATAATGCACAGGTAAAATTGAAACAGTAACATGCAGTTACATGCATGATATTTTCTTAGTCTTAGTTCTTTATACTTTCTCAGTACTTGTTATATAGCAAATATAATTGGAACATGTCGTAAATTTTTGCCTTAGGTGGGACGTTTATACCTGACTCAGCCCTTTCTCTTTGACCTCCAAACTGTCTGTTTGGGAATGATGAGAAGTATTACAAAAGCAGATCAGTTAGTTTCAAGTGCTACAGGAACTGCTCGCATGCAAGAATGCCCTTGTCATTTAAAAAGCAATTTTCTTCTGGAATAATCGCTTCAGAATCTCTGCAGCACCAACTTTTCGTATTTGTGTGAATGTAATTTTTCAAAATAGAAGCAGTTGTTGATGTAGTTACATAAAATGAAATCAGATACTTTCCCATTTCAGTTACAGTTTTCTTAATGATACTGTGTGCTCTTAAACTAGAGACAAGAGATGCTTTGATTGTGAATTAAAGGTAGCAAACAGCCCGAAATCTTTTATCTTTGTACAGACCTTACTAATGAAATCTGTTTACTTTGGGAGGATTTTTATCTAGTATTTTTAGATTTAAACTGAGTGCTGTATCTGCTTTTGTTAACATGTAGTTTATAAAAGCAGGATATAATCTGTCTCTTCCATATTCATAATTTTCTCAAGATTATGAGAACAGAAAGGGTTAAAGATGACGTTCTTTAAAGCTCTGTGTGGGCATATTCACTGTACGTTTATGTGGATTTCCCATTGATAGGAGTGTTCTTGTAACAGAAGCCTAGAATACGGTATGAAATAATTTGAAAATCCAGTTTACCTTTTTGATGTCTTCTATAAATTGCATACAACAGAGCTTCATTTCCATATTTCATACAAACTTTTGTCTCCTAAACAGATTTAATAATACAAACAACAGACTGTTAAATTCAAACTTTTAATCTCATCTTCTTTGAAGAAACAAGCCTCTAATGTGTCTCAAGTCTCTAATAAATGACATCTTTTAAAAAAAAGTTAAGATTTAATTATTGTGGACTTTGGATAATCTTTGGCATCATAGGCTTGAGTTGTATGCTGAAAAAACTGGTCTGAGTGTTCCATAACTCTCTCAGGTAAATAGCTGCTTTAGGAAAACTGTTTGTGGCTATGGAAGGTACTCATTCTTTACAGAACGCTCTATTTAGTTTGCTTGGCCCATATTGACAATTTGGGACTTCTGTCAATATATGATCTCTGTTCACAGTACGGACTAGTGGTATTAGATCACAAACTATGTTCTGAAATATGGATTTTCTTGCCTTCTTTTTCTTTGTTACTGTCTGTTGTCTCCGAGTCAAGATAAAATCCATAGTCAACGGTAAGAGAGTAGGAATTGTTAAATCTTTGATAATTGTGCAGTCTGGGGCCCTCATGGACGAATGGATTGTTACCGCTCTTTTTCAAGATTGAATTCTTGCATGTGAAATCTGAGTAGAGTTGATGCTAAGTTAGAGATGAATACCTTTTCAAACTTGCTCATAAGATACTATTTTGTATAAAAGCAGGATTCTGTCCTCAATACCTAGAGAGTCCCTTTCAATTCTATGTTTCTTTGGAAGTAACTAAGCAACAGATCATAAGGTGGGAGACTTAATCTTCTGTTGATTTCTTCTCTTGTACCCTGAGCCCAAGGGACTTCTCTTGAGTACCTGGGGAAGGTACTTGATAAAGAGCATGTGAAAATTGTGAAAGAAAGAGTCTCTCACTGGCTGTAGTGAAAAAGAAGGATAGAGACAAACAGGCTGACCTGCTTGGATTTGGAGTTAGAGACTTGATACGGGAAAGGTTTCTTGAAAGTTCACCATGCAGGAATAGTGAAAAAACAGAGATAGCTGTGCAGGTGATTGGGTTCCCTCTCCACCCCCACCCCTTCAGTCATTTTAACTAATACTGTGTATATTTTTATGTATATATTTAACACAAATCATGTTAGAAATCAATATATCCAGCCATGCATCGAATTATGAGTTTTGCTCCTCAGAGGGGTACATAGCACCCATGCAATTGGAAATACTGTGCTTAAGCTAGTGAGGGTTCTATTAATCATCTCACGAGTAAAGTCCCACTGCACTGAAGCAGTAGAAAATAATATTACCCCAAAAAATGAATTCTGCTGAGAACAAGAGTAGTTTAGGGCGTGACCCAAGCACGGTAGCCTGATACATGATCATCTGGGTGAGCTTTACCACAGTTTTAGGACATGCGCATGTACTGCAGTTGGTGCAAAGATACATACTTCCGTTTGAGGTACGGGTCAGCAATCCGCCTTGTACTGTGGTGTGCTTACTTACAGGCAGTACTACTACTCTTACATGTGTTGCACTTCACCCAAAGCCGAGCCTCACCTTGTAAAAGTTAATCTGTTTTAAACCTGTTCACTGGAACCCCCTTCTAAAATTCCATGCTGTGTTCAGGATTGTTTTTATGCTTGGCCTGGAGACTCTGTGTCTCCATAGCTTGCTGAGCAACTCAGACCATGTAATAATTTTTGCTCGTGCATTTTACAAAGCTCTAAATCTGAGCATTGAATCAACTCTTTACCTAATTAAGTCTCTTACTGTATTGAAAATCCTAGAGAAGCACAAAAATTAGTCTTGTAGCGTAGAGTATTTCTTAGAGATTTTGGCACCACACGTCAGAATTCCAGAACTAGACTGTTCTTGTGTTGATTAATGTGCTAATAAAATCACTTCTGAAAGATGAATTTTTTTTTTTTTTTAAAGCAACAAACCAAATCCCAATCAAATATCCAGCAACAATGGGAAACCTGCTGCAGTGAATGGAGCAGTGGGAGCCTCCTATCAGGCACAGGCCTCGCTAATAGGTCGCGCTTGTGAAAGTTGCTATAGTAAGTAAAATTTCCTGAGCTTTTTGTGGCTTTTTTGTTTCTTTTAATAATTTGTATGTCATTGTCCAACTGTTAGGATTTTTGGCTAATCTTAATATATACTGTTTTTAAAAAAAAGTACTTTGTTTCCATTCTGTAAATAAATTGAAGTTAATTTTTAATGAATTGTGTGGTAGAAGTAACTTTTAAATTAGAGCTACATTTAATATATTAATTATAACATCAATATTTCAAATCCAGTTTATGACTTTTTGGGAACAATTTAGTTTAGAAAGGTAAAGCAGTGTGATACAATGGCATTGATATGTTGATCTTTTACCTTTAGAATTCCAAAAATCAAATTTATTTTTGCTTTGTCCAGAAAGTTTGCAGAGCTTTTGGAGTTTTTTGGATTTTGTTTTTGTTTTTTTTTTTTGCTTTGGGGGGGTTGCATTTTTTGGTTTTTATTGTTGCTTTTTTTAGTATTTGGTGGGTTTCCAGTGATCCCTGTTGGACCAAGTTGGCCTTGAAATACCAACTTTTGACATTGTCACATTTTTTCTCATATAATCTAACATCAGAATTGGAAAGAATAGAAGAGGCCTAGAATGTGAAAGTTCTTATAATTGCTGTGCTTTTCTGTTTCTTAAACACCAGTTAAACTCAAATTATATTTTTTTGTATATAGAAAGTTCAAGCTACATACTTCCATTACTTTTCAAATTATATTTTTCAAAGAATAGTTTTATTCTGAAAGATGACAAAAAAAAAGAGGGAAGAAAAAGATTAAGTTAGTATTTCCAGATAAGTGTCCCTATGCAAGAAAGGAAGGTAGGCATTCATCTTAAGTGTGTGCTTATCTCTTTGCTTATGTAGATCTTGGCCCATAAGTACTCATTTTTCATGAGTTGGGCAAAACCCCCCAAACCTTCAGCAGTTCTCATAACTAGCATGCACCTCAACAACTGTGCCTTCTGGGTCAAAATGAGAAATAGTGGAGGGTTTATAGGTTTTTGTTTTGTGTTGTTTGGTACTCCGCTGGAAGAAAATCTTTTTCTTAGTAACATGAAGTCCCTGGTTTGGAAGTAAATAGTGAAATATTTCTGTATTTTCACTGGGAGTTGTCTTTTGTGGCAACACCCCATTAAAACTCCTTTTGCTTTTTCAAGTTCTTATTTTCACTATGTCAAATGAATTAACTGGTTGTCTTTAGACAACATTCTCTTAGAGAATACCATTTATTGCAGCATTTGGATTTACTATATGGATTGCAGAATGCATCAATTTAGCTCCGCTATTTTCTTTCCCTTAGCTCCGCAGTCTCACCAGTGGTATTCTTGGGGCCCCCCTAATATGCAATGTAGATTGTGTGCATCTTGCTGGATTTATTGGAAGAAATATGGTGGCCTGAAAATGCCCACACAGACAGATGAAGATAAGCTGTCTTCCAGCCAACCTACAGAGGTAGGATCCTGTAGATAAACTTTCCTAAGAAACAAACTGTGGCACTTTTTCAAGACTGCTGTGACTTGAACGTTTAATGGGGTGATTTTTTGTCTCTCTATTCAACATTACAAAACTGAATTGATGAATCTTTTCTATCTTAAGTAGAACTGAGCAGTGTGCAGCTCCTACCATATCTTTATTTGACCAGATCTTCAATAGACTGCTGTCGTTTTCGTGTGTTTTCAGTGGACAAATGTCATCTTGTTGGTCAAATGGCATGTTATCTATAAAGTGTTAATGTGGCTATACTGTATCTCATCTAGAATGGCATTAAATTTCCAAGCACAGTAGAGCTCTCTTCTTTGTAATACAGCTTCTTCTATAAACCCTAGTTTTTTGCATAGTGCTGATTTTATATAATTTGATTAACCTTGTGAATTTATCCAGATTTGGAATTTTTTAATGCTCAAATACGAGGGAAGTATCTTCTTCTCATTCATTCCTTCATTTGTGGAGTAAAAACACCCATTCTTTCAGCTGTGATGACAGTATTTAATAGCATTAGGAAATGTTCATTAAATGTGATCACTGTGAACATCTTTTATCACTGGTAGAGAAGATTCCGGTTGTCTATTTCAGATGTTTTGTTATGTTTTTCTTTCTTTTTTTTTTTTTTAATTTGTTTTATTTTTGTAGGAGTCCCATGTTAGAACTCACATGTCCCGCCAGGCCACACAGGGAACTCCTGTTCGTAACACTGGGAGTCCAAAGTCAGCAGTGAAAACACGCCAAGCTTTCTTTCTTCACACAACGTGTTGGACAAAACTTGCCCGCCAGGTCTGCAAAAATACCCTCCGGCTGCGGCAGGCAGCAAGACGTCCTTTTGTCCCTATTAACTGTGCTGCCATTAAGGCAGAATGTAAGATGTTTTTTTAATTCTTAGTTCTGTGTGCTGTGCTTCCCACCCATTTTTGTCTTTTAATTTTATTTTCTTTTTCAATAAACATTTCTTGTCTATACCCTTTTGCTTTTCATTTTTTTCATTTGTCTAGCATATCACCAGCACGTTTGTATAAAGTCTGGCTGCCCTGAACAAAATTCAGGCTATTTTAAGAACAGATGATGTCTGGAAACAGGTGAAAGGGGGGACATTTCAAATGAATTAAAAGGGGCTGTCCATTACCTCATTCACTAAACAGAAATTGTTATTAAAAAAGAAATCTCACGGAAAATCAACGTTGTTGCACAGAAGCCATGCTTCCTACTAGTAAGTGTGAAAGAGGTTTGCCTTTTTATTGTCATTTAATCCTTTCTGCTGAGCAGAAAGTGTAGATCTATACTTGTTTTACTTTCTCCGGGGGCATTGTTCAAGGCATGAGATGCGTTGTTGAGGGTGCATAAGAGTGTCATTCTGGCCTGTAACGGTCATTTAGTGTTGTTCAGGTCAAATGGTGGTGAAAACCATGTTTATTATTTCATCATAATTGCATCTTTTTTGTCCATTTCAGTTTTAAATTTAGCTTTACATATAATTCTGTTGTTTATTTGTTTGTTTTTAAACCAAACTATAAAGAACTGAAGAATTCACTAGTAGTATTACAAAGGGTTATGAGATGTTATAGACAGCAGCCAACAAGTTTCTTTGTGGTTGTACGGTTTTGAATTCTGGTCCGAAGTCCGAGGAAGTCATTCAGCGTTTTTGGCTGGTTTTATATCTGTTCTGAGCGTATTGTTTTACTGCTCACACTGGTTATATTTCTCAGTCTTCCGTAGATAGAGTTCCCAGAGCACGTACTTGGTATTACAAGACAAAACAAGCCGGCATACAGCCAGTTGTTTTAGAATTAAGAGACATTTTTAGAATATTAGATACTGTTTTTTTAACCATATTTTCTAGACTAAAACTAAAATTGGAGAAATGTTTTCCGAACATATTGAACTGGGATGCCAGTGATGTCAGTGCTGTTATGAGAAATTCTATCCTCTGAGGCTTAAAATCTGTTTTTGAGTAATTATTTTCCCCTCATATGCTTTAATACCAGCCCTTCTTCACAGGCAAGCTCTTCACCTACTTCTGCGGGCATCCAGAATTTGATCAATATATCTATTCATTGTTGTCTCTTATTTATTCTGTCCCATTAGGCATTTTCTTTCCTCTTTCAAAGTTATTTTAGTCAGGAGCAACTTTCAGGAAATCACTGGATTTAAACCAGTCTGAGAGGAAACCATATATGCACTATGTGAGTAAAACAGGTTTATTCTTGTGCTTTGATGGAAGAGGTTTCTGAAGGTTGGACTAGGCTTACATTTATATTTAATACGCTCTGCAGCAAATCATTTGAAAGATTCATGAACTAGTAGAATAACGGTTATTTTCTAAGAGGAAGAGGTTGTACCTTTAATTGATGTAATTGGCACTGATTTCTAATAGACTGTGGAGGAAAATTAATTCTAGAATTAGGCTCACTGGAACCTTAAGTCTTTTTATCCGCATCTCTGTTTGTTCTTACTTGCTCCAGTTACTCAATTTGAAAGAAGATGAAGCTTTTGTTTAAGGGAGAGAAAAAACAGAAAACAATATCCAGCTATTAATCATCATTCTAGAACAAATGTTATACACAGTTCAACTTTAAAAACAAAGGAATGAAAGCTGAGCTTTTCAACAGGGAATAGTCATTCTTATATCATACTGACAGTGCGGTGAATGCTTCGTATCTGTTCCTTTGACTGAAAAAAATGCCACAACAGATTAACATCAAGAGCAGAAAGGTGTTTTTTTTTTTTCCCTGTAGCCTCTGTCTTTTGTTATTGTTTTTACTTTCAGGAAAATTTGGACCTTGCAGTTTTATCTGTTTGAATGCTGTTGTTTCCTGGAGCATTCAATTCATCCTGCAGACCTAAAATAGGTTGAAAAGGCTACAATTTTTTATTCTTTTTGAACACAACCTTCAAACTATTTTGTAATAGTGGTAAAAAGATCACACATGATTTAATTTTATTTGTGTTTCTCTGTGTGTACACACGCACGTGCACACGCATTCCGTTTCTGACAGTGTCTGCACAGAGAATCATACAATGTTCCTAACCTGTGTACGCTTTGTCTTTGTGACGTTCTTGCCTTAATAAATCCTTTTAGGTAAGTCTATAAGATACAGTTTTCTGGTATTGTTCATGTTCTTATGTCTGGTGACCTAAGTCTTCAGTTCACTCTGCTGATTTTAATTTTGAGTCTAAATAGTCTCTCTCCTCCTGAGCCTTTGAATCCTTTTTTTTTAAAGATAACTTGATGGGAGTCATTTTTACATGAGGTATTTAATTAATAGTAATGATTTGATATGCTGAATAGCACAGAGGTTAGCAGTTACGATATTGAACAAATGTTTATGATGATGTTGCAGTAGTTACAATCACACTGAGATAGTAACCTGGCAAGGTTACTCATGTGATGTGGCATGAGATGGTCAGGACGTCCAAGAACTGGTTAAGGATTTGGAATTTGTTTTTTACATTGGTGTACTGAAACTTGAATCTGACTTTCAGGGCTGACCTGACTGTGTGTATATGTGTGTGCGCATACAGAACCAGTGCTTGGAAATGTAACTGCATTTCACAGCTACATTGCAGTAGGTACCATACCAATGTTACCACACACTCAGAAACCTAAAATTTGGAGAGAAGGGTGGTAGGGCACTTACCACAGCAGCATACCAGGTTTTAGGTTTCCTCAGCCTTATGCAGTTCACTGAAGGGCCAGGTTGTAAATGAAACTAATTCCGAGTTCTGAAGAAGGAAATCTGAACAAGCCAGTCAGAGCTTACTGTAAAAATAAATTGATTATTGCATTCCACCTTGCAGGTACTTTCCTCTCAGAGGGTCATGGAAGCTTTTGAGCTAGTCTAAGGCCCAACCCTCCTTTGGAGAAACCAGATTTCAGATGGAGCATTTCATTTGATTCTTGTAATTCCATCCACATCATCTCCCTCAGCCTATTACATCCACTAGCAGAACATAAAGTCCTATTTTATGTTATTCATTTCTTTAGTCAGTGCAGAGAATTAGATTTTCCTGATTAATGAACCATTTAGCATGACCTCAGGTCAGATGCCAGCAGGAGATAACGGAGAGGATGCATTCATGTTTCAGCTCAATCTACAGATGGCTACCCGAATGCTGAAAAAGCATATCATCTGCTAGGAGGATGATATATCATGGAAATCTCAAATTTTGTTCTGCTGAAGGTAATGGACTTGTGTTAATTGTGGACAATAAACTGGTCTGATAGGCTTTCAAGAATAATTAGAATTGGTGATTTGTTTCAGTAGGAGGAAATTCCTATGCTTTAAATCAGGAAAAATAACTTATTTTTCCCTTGCATATATTTGACATGGTTTTTAGGAAGTTAAGCAAAATTATCCTGTCTATGTAAGACGACTTAATTAGAGAAAACTTAAGTTGGCATTCTTCTGCAGCTAGTCACTGACAAGATTGTATCTGTCTCCAGCTTACAAGCATGTTGAAATATGCTTAGCAGTACATCTGTGAACCTTATTACTTCAGCAAAGGAATTTTTTAGGAAGATTTTTTTCTTGTGTTACTTGCACACAGTTGTATCAATATAAGTATTTATATTAATTATAGTGATTTAAATTTGGGTAACTGCACAAATTATAGAGCAAAATAGGTTCATTAGATAACCAGAATCTTGGTAGAGAGATGATGGAATGGCACAGAGAAACAACTCCCAAGTGAAAGTCTGAGCTAAGAGAGCTAGTAGAAAATTTAGTAGATTTATTTAGTAGAAATCTAGTAGGAAAAAAGAAAACCCAAACCAAATGAGAAAATCTTTTCAAATCTAAGAGAACAAGCTGTTTTCGTTCTGTGCCAGATGTGAGGATCACTCGCTCCATTTCCAACTATCTCAGCGCTTCTCTTGTCCAAAACATCCTGTGGAAATGATTTTCCCGGTGTAATAAGGTGTGTGTAACAAGAGAGAAGGATTCTTTGTTTCAGTTTTGCTTCCTAATATTTTCATTTGGCACCCTCTAATTTTGATGGTTTGAGAAATAGTGAATAATCATTCCCTATTAGCTTCTCTGTAGCATTCGTGATTTCATAGATCTCTGTGATATCCACCTCAGTCATCGCTTTTTTAGGCTGAGAACTCAGTCTGTTTAAAACCTTCTCATAGAGAAGCCATTTTATAATGTGATTCGTAATGCTGCTTCCTGTAGTTTTTCTAATTGTACTGCACCTTTTTTGAGTCATGGTGTTCTGAATTACACGCACTTCCAAGATGTGGGTGTCCCGTAATTTTAGAAAGAAGAACATGAGGTTTTCAGTTTTGTACCTATGAGGTTTTCAGTTTTGTTCCTGCTTCCCATCCTATCAGCTATTGTGACAGGGAGTATTCAGAATGTTTTGAGTGACCACTCTTGAATATTGACTTGATACTTTTAGAAAGCTGTTGACATTAACTCCATGAATTGTCTCCTGCATGGTGTAGTTTGGAACCCATCATTATATATGTATATTATAGTCATTTTATCCCTTAAGATTAATTTGAATTTATTCCTTGATCCTGCTGAAATCCTCCACAATCAGTTTTAGTTTTGATTATGCTCAGTGATTTTGCATCTTGAGTGAGTTAACAAAAAGCTTCCTGATCATCTCTCTTCCTGATCTTTTATATGTTGAACAGCACAGATCCTTTTGGGATTGCACGGAGAATTGCTGTTTATAACAAAAGCTATCTTATCTTTTAATAGGGTACTACTCCCTTTAAAAAAAAAAAACAAAACCCTTTCCCTTTAACCCCATAACAGCTGGACAGCAGCAGTCTGTGGTCACACAGTGTGTCAAAAGCTACTTGAAATGCCAAGCAGGGTGCTATCAGCCGAATAACTGTGTGCATATACGAACTGGTTCCTTCGATAAATGCTCCTAGACCTGTGACGTTTGCAATAACAGACTCATAGTCACATAGGCAGGAAGGCAGAGAAGTAAGAAAGAGGAGGAAGGAGGTGGAAACCTCTAGAGATTCCTACTTCTACCCCTCTGTGCAGAGCTCAGGGTGCTCAGGGCCTTCTATCCAGCCAAGTTTTGTACATCTCCAAAGAAGGAGACTCCACATCCTCTCTGGGCACCTGTTGCAGTATTTGACTACACTCGTGGTAAATCTTTTCTGTGCATCTAACCAGAATTCCCCACATACCAGCTTGTTTCTGTTGCCCCTTATCCTGCCCCTGTGTACTTCCGAGAAGGGTCTGGCTCAGTCTTCTCTATGCTCTCCCACCAGGTAGTTGGAGGCAGCGATAAGGTCTCCCCTTGGCCTTCCCTTCTCAAGGCTGAGCAGAGCCAGCTCCCCCAGCCTCTCTTTGCATGCAGTGTGCTCCAGCCCCATGACCAGCTTGATGACTCTCCAGTAGCTGGACCTGCTCTGTATGTCCATGTCTCTTGTACCGGAGAGCCCAGACCTGGGCACATCATCCAGATGTGGTCCCACAAGGTCTGAGTAGAGGGGAAGGATCACCTCCCTCAACCTGCTGGCTGCACCCTTGCTGATGTGGCCCAGTGTGTGGCTGCCCTTCTTGCTGCAAGGGCATACACCTTAGTGTTCCCTAATGCGAACACGCTTGAATAGTTTTTACTTTTACAAAATCTTTGACTTTTTTGGCATTTCCATATTTAGCTGTATGCCTCTATTAATAGTTAAACCATTTTGCCGATATACAAATCACAATTACCCAAAAATGTTACTGTGTGCCATGCTTTCGTTTTCTTGCACTGAGACCAATTTAAACAGTAGGTTAATCATCTGTAGTGTATGAGCTCAGCAGTTGCAGTTTGGATGAATTTCACCTGGTCCTGGTAGCTTTTTTATTCACTTACCAGTTTGTTCTGAAATATTTCCTATGGACACTGTGATATGAGGTACTTCTCACGCTCTCCTCATAAAAGCATTTTGGAGGGGAGCTTGTTTAAGTTCCTCTGCAGTGAACACTGATACAACAAATTCATTCAGCTTTTCTGCCGTATCTTTTTCCTTCTTTTCTGTACTTCCTTCACACCTTGATCGTTTCGTGTTGCTACAGGCACGTGCAGGCTTTCTGCTTTTCATGTGTTTGGAATAAATGTACTATCAAATATTATATCCTAAGCATAAATCAAAGTAGTTTTAGCATGCTTTATTGTGGTTACACATTTAGCTTGCCAGAGTTTGAGCTCTTTTCAACTCCTTCTGCAGAATATCTTTTTTCAAAAAAAAAAAATTTTTTTAAGAATACCTTTTTATTTTTCATAGCTTCCTGTGTTTCACTGTTATTAATATTTTTAGTGTTCATGTAAAAGTCATGTAAAAAATTCATTTTAGGAATTCTTTAGGGGAATATTTTTGAGACCATTTTTTTACAACTTCCTAGCTAAGTTTTATTCCATGGTTGTACACTTGAGGTTGATGCACCATTTAACATTGTGTTTTTCTGTATATGGTGCATAAAGATGCTCATCTTTAATCCAAGTATGGTAGTCTTATGAAAAGTATAATTTTACTGTTGTTAAAAATATTTAACTTTTCATGAGATAGCTTTACTTTAGAATACCCACCTTTGGTGAACATGCTTTGTCACAGCACGGAAATTGTACTCTCTTTCCAGTCTGCATTTTTAGTCAGTATATTAGTATCACACCGTGATTCAGTGTCTTTTTTACAGTGAAGATATGTAGATGGAAAAGCTTCTTACTAATCAATTCATAGTGGCTGCTTTGCTTTTCCCAAACTGTAAAATATTTTGCATAGTATAAAGTATTCTGTGTAGCCTATGTTTTTCTTACTAAGGGAGACAGTGGAGACGCATCTTTCTACTCTTTCATTTAAAATATTTTAAGTGTTGAGGAATATCAAAAATATTCCAGACACTAGGTTCAGTGCATTTTTTTTTTCTTAGAACAGTATATTATGTTGTTTATGTTAAGATGAAACAAAAAAGTACTTTGTATACTTAGCATTAGAGTTCTAGAGCCTTTGAGCTTCCCAGATGTCAGGTAGGATTTTTGCTTAGAGCATTTAAGAATTTCATGTAAATTGCTTAATATACTGAACTAAGTTGTGCATTGTCTGCTGGGTTAAAAACATTTATGAATTGCATGAAAAAGGTGAATACTGAAAATAAATGAAATATTTCAGTCGCTGCTGTGGTAACCTGACATGCATCTTTTTTCCACAAATCTTCATAGAATATACAAAAAGATTGTGGGTTTTGTAAATTTTATGTTTTTTTGTTAAATATAAGTTGTTATATGTAGTTTCTTACCCGCTTCATATGCATATTTCCTCATTTGTGCTGAAATGAAATAAATAGGAACTTTTTGGTATAAACAAAGTACAAGCCGTAGACAAAGTGGAATTCTGTTATTATAATCTAATTATAATGGCTAGCTCCTATAAATGTAACGCTTGTTAGAAAGCGCAGACCTGTGTGTGATACCTGTACAAAGAAACATGTACAAGTATGTGTGTATATGTGAGAAATGGGAATTCTAGATATATAAAATAAAAATATTAATGCAATTCTATGCTAAAAGAAATATAAAAGAATATTCTAGGGATACTGGAAGTCCCATATGGGGATTATTCCTGTGCTTTTGGAAAGCAGATGACTCAATCATCCAAAGTAGTTTTAAAGAGTTTAGTTCCAATAGTCTTGAAACTACTTAACCAATTTCTGGTGGATTTTGCCTTAGGTTGATGGACTCTGGTGTTTAAGTGTGAACCTCTTGTTAATAACACTTTTTCTGTGTTTGGGGCATTTAGAAAGACTCTGTTTGTGTATTGTAAGTGCCTATGGAAGTGTGAGTTCATAGTGTTAGTATTAAATTCAGGTAGTTAATGAGCTGGTTTTCAAGTACATTTTCATGTACTTTGCGGGAAGTTGTTATCTTAGACTTTTGAGCTCTGCCATATTTGGTTAAAACTGGCCAATTTGTTCAAAAGCTTTTACTAAAGACTTTTTTGTATATTTTTTATATGGTATGTGAATATATGTTGCCATATATAAGTAGTGCAAGCTTTAAATTTGTAGGATACTAGGTCAAAAATACGTATATTTACTTTCCATAAGGAATTACCTTAAAACTTCCATGTGATCTGTTCAGTTTTGTTACCTAACTTTAAGGGGTGAATAAGCAAGAGGGTAAAAAACACACAATAAAGCAAAACACCTTTTCTGTTTTGTCTTGTGCCCACACTTGTTCCATAATAGATTTTTTTGGGATTCAAAGCTTCTCTGCTATTTACCATTATTACTACCCAGGGCACAGCTAATTGCGTTACATGCTTCACTTTATCCTATATGAAACATCTTACAACATGTGAGCAGTCTGAGTCCTTTTAGGAGTTAATAGACCCTCAGTTATCCACCCACCACTATGATTCTGTTTTGGTTGCTGGATGAAATTGGTGATTGTTGTCATCAGGTAACAATTCATACGTCCCATAGAAATGTCTTTTATTCACTAAGTACAGGAAATACTTTATACAACAGAGAGTATTATATAATAATGATGGACCACTAATGTAAATGAAAAATGAGGACAGGATTTCACCGTAAGCTTTTTGTATCCAAGGCATTCATAAGAAAAGCATACCAGAATGGAGACTTGCTTAGTTGTAAGCGTATAGGATTTTTTCAAGATTTAACTTGCCACAGTTGGGCACAGTGTTCTATTTTACCTAAGAAGGACATGAATCACTGTACCATGGGAGTAATACGTGACACAATTCAGTAGTTCCAGTTTTAGAATCCTTAGCACTGTAGTTCCCCACTTAGAGCCAGGCAACCTTGTAGAAAACAATGAAGAATTCCGTGTAAATCCTTGTTAATAGACAGAGCTACTTTTATTTTAGCACTCATATTTTCATCTGTTTCATTTGCATAGTTGACTATTTCCAAAAATAGTTTGTCGATCCAGAATGTAATCAAAATTTCACTAGAACATACATTAACTTTTACTAAAATTAAGACTCATAATCTTGGTTACTGTTGCATAAATGAGAATGCTTTAATCTGTATCATTATCAGCATTGATGGAAAAGAAGAAAATATGCTAAAAGGAAAAAAAAAATCAGTCAAGAAATTTGTGGTGAGAACGTAAGTGCGAAACCGGTAGGTGCATCCTAATTATATTTGCAGTGGCATAATATTTAAACTGAGCTTTGTTCTTTAAAATTCTCAGATGCAGATCGACATTGTGAAGTTGCTGGAAATCCTCTGAAGATCAAAAGCACCAGAAAACCACTATCGTGTATCATTGGGTATTTAGGTGGGTATCTGCCTTCAGAGAAAAATTAGTCAAATGAATGTTTTTTAATTTAATGATATATTTATAAATCCTATGTGCATAGAATGAAAGATTTATGCTTTTATTAACAAGAGAACTATAAAGATAAATTAATAAAATTTCTGGTGGGTTACTGTGGTGGCAAAACTGCATGATTGATCTTGCAGATTGTAGGCAGAAAGCCTTCTGATACTGGATTAAAATGACAGATTGCAACCTGCTGTAATTTAGAATGTGAAAAAGAGTCGGTTAGTCTACCTAAAAAACACTCAAAGAGCAGACACTCACTATACTCAGTGCTGCTCTACATCTGTACCCCTTGAATCCACTTGTAATACTCCCATGCACTTAGAAGGATCAGGCTTCTGCCACGTCAGATGCTGATATTCTTTTAATTTGATGGCAGGGTTTAAAAAGATGTGGTGAAACTCTGTACTGAGATCATAGCCAGGAGAACAAGAAGCTCACATGATAGTGGAAAAAAGGGCTTGCAGGAAAGTCTAGTAAGTGTGATTCATTATTAAAAAACCCGAAATGGTCCTCTTTACAAGGAACCACCCTGATGATGAAATACTTACCTAATCATATAAGAGGTGAGATACCTCAGAGGCTTTTAATTGATTCTTAAATGAATATAGAAATCAATGCTTTGGTCAGAGAAGCAGTGAATAATTCTACAGCGTATTAATCCCACTTCACAGAAGTATAGCTGAGAGTAGACCTCAATCCAGATATTTTGCTAAAAATTTCAATCAACAGGAGTTCATTTATAGTAGGACAAAGTAAACGCTGACAACCTCTTTATTTGCTAAAATGGAGACCAGCTGTGAATGTAGTTATAACTGCTCTTCCAGGACATCACAGAATCCCAGAATGGTTGAGGTTGGAAGGGACCTCTGGAGATCATCTAGTCCAACCCCCCTGCTCAAGCAGGGTCCTCTAGAGCATATTTCCCAGGATCACGTCCAGACGGGTTTTGAATATCTCCAGCAAAGGAGACTCCCCCGCCTCTCTGGGCAACCTGTTCCGGTGCTCTGTCACCTTCACAGTAAAGAAGTTTTTCCTCAGGTTCAGATCACATTTAACAAAATCTTGAGTTTCAGCAAACTGGATAAGGAAGAATTAATATTTACTCTCATGGAGGTTTGATTCCTCTACCCTGAAGTTTAAGAAAAAAAGCTAGTGGTAGTTTCCTATAGGTGTTACAGCTGTATGCATTATATTAGCCATCAGGACAATGAACAGAGAAGGGACTGGTTTGATTTACTTGATGCAACTGTGGTTGTGAGATAAGGCAGTCTGGCAGGAGATGGTTTATCTGGCCGACCCCATTTGGATAGTCAAAAGCAGAAAGAACAGCATGTGTATCTTGGAAAAGACGATGTGTCTTTAGTGCCTCATTGTTTAGTCTGTGAAGGGTCGTCTTGGTAACTCTGGGAGAATATATCTCTTAAGTTTAATGGCAGTAAATGGATGAACAGTGTCAGATACCATTATGTGTACTTAGGTGAGGGTTTTGTAAAAGAGGATTAATAGTGCTAAAATATACCAGGCGTCTGGAGAGTCAGCCTAGCATTTGATTGTATGGGAAGTTACTGCAGTTTGAAGGTAAATAATATGTGCTACAGGGATATGAAGTATACCTAAAATAGTTATGGATGAGTGTCTAAATTAGCTGCATAAAGATGGCTAGGAAATGGCTTTTAGTTTGCTCATCCCACCATATTACAGTAAATAAGTAATACTTACCTTATTTTCCTCTTAAAGACTATCATTAAATATCGAGTCATAGCTTGAGTGCAAGGTTGTTGTTTTCTTTTTAAAATGCTTTTCATGCCATTCCCAGAAGTACTTACTGGAATACAGGTAGTTATGTCTCACAGGGTACTTCTGCTTTCAGCCCTAGTGGTAAGGCGATGGGATTTCAACTCTCAGGACTCTCTCGGTTGTTGTTTCCCTTCATCCCTGTTCTCCTCCTTAGCTGCCTGTTCCGCAGGTGAGGCAGATTAAGCATTAAAGGTAGGCTCTGTCCTTCCTTTGTCAAAAACTAACTGAGGATTAGTGACCTCCAGACTGAAGAAAAGCGAAAGGAAGGAAGTGCCTTCTTCCTTGACTGTTAGCTATTCCTGAAAATTCAAGATTCTTTCTCCTACACTCTACAAACAGAAGGGATTTACGAGTTTGTCTGTCGGTCTAGTGCTGGGATTATTGTGGTTGCTGCTGGAGGTCTTTGGCAAATAAAGTAATATTTTTGTGATGTCAGCCTTGAAGATTAATTTTTTCTTTCAAAGTATTGAAAAAGATTGTCATATGAGCAGTTTAGGATCCAGATTCCAGTTGTCTTCAGGAAACAGTGCAAACCTTTCCATTGATGGCTAGGGGAAAACTTTAACCTGAAATAGTGTTCATAACCTTAAGCACGCCTCTATTCCTCTTTTAGTAAAAAAACCAAAATAGACTCTCATTTTCTACAGCATGAAAAGTGGGAGATGCCATGAAATCCATTGGGAGCTTGATGATCCTAGCCTTTTTTTGTATGAAAAGCAGATGAATACTGAATGAATGAATGAAAAGCAGATGAATACAGTGAATAGCGGTAAAAAGCTCTGGACTAAATAAATGGTGGGGTAGATCAGCAACATCATACTAGCCTTTACACACACACAATCACACACCCCCATAAAGTACTGTCTTGAAGCAGTTATCAGTTCCCTAGTTTTATGTTATTCTAACTTGTATTAACAATTTATAGGTGTGTTACCCTAGTCTAATCTGACTGTCCTGAAGTGTCTTGAATTGAGGATATTTGTACTTTAAGAGTATGATTGCGTGTGCTGACCAAACCATTGATTAACAGTTAACCAAAGTCTTTTCAAATGTGAAAACTGCTGGTATTACCTCTTCCTGGCATGCTGTTCCCAGCATGTAGTCTGGCCAAGCCATCACAGCAATCCTACTCCTTTCTACTTAATTTGGATGTTGATGAAACTGTTCAGGTAGTCTGCCTTTTTTATTTATGCCATGCAAAGGTTATAGCGACTGTAACACTGTGTGTGTCCGCAAACTCCCCTGTAACCAGCTGCCTATTCCGAAGTGCACTGGACAGATGAGTTTAGCTGCCTCTTTTTTGGCTTTCTGGCACCAACTCTAGAATAATTCTGCTGCATTAACTGTATGAGAGAGTCTGGGATATTTGAAACGCTATAATAATGATTCTGTATTAGAGTCTGTCAGCCATGGAGAATCCAATGCAATCTTTTTTTTTTTTTTGGTGTTCCTCTCACAGAACCTGCTACTCTGCAGTTTTGGGGTAGCTTCAGACTCCTGCTCTAGCTTGCTCCCTGGCCATTGCATCTAATGACTTAGCTTTAAGGGATCTTCCCAAATATTATTATTGTGATAGAAAATATTAAATAACTTTAGGTATTAAGGTGATTTCACTAGAGTAAAATGCTTTTATATGCTTGCTTAAAAGTCTGTAATCTCCCATACAAAGCTCAAAAGGCTAGGAAAACGTTAATACAGAGCTCTTTCAGATTGATTTGCTGAGATATTACCTCTTTACCTGTGAAATCCTTACACATGCGCACCGTACGAGTGAACCCAGGCAGTCCAAAGCGAAATAAAATTTTCTCATTTGGAAGAGCCATAGTTACAAAGACTTGTGTTTGAATTGTTATTCCATGTCCTATAAACACACTCCTGATGAAGAAACTGGCTTTCATTTCACTAGAAATCAAATAGAAATGAATGGAAAACACAAACTTTTAAAAAATCAAATATGTATGGTCTCTCTCTTTCTCTTTTTTGTTCTAAACAGAGATTCATCCTGCGGTGAAACCTAATGTAATCAGGTCAACACCAAGCCTTCAAAGCCCAAGTGCAAAGCGACTGCTTGCACCACCTAATCACTCTTCGTTAAGTATTTTGGGAAAAAGAAGCTACACTCATCATAATGGCCTTGATGGTATGTAAAGGAACATAAAAGAAATATTTGAGTATCTGAATTACAAAACTTCTTTCTGTGGACCTGAAATGACAAAGTTTTGTGACCTTTCTGTGGGGAATGTATTTTAAAGAAATTACATTAAATAAGGGGGTATAGGCCTCTAAGAAACAAATGCAACACAAAATTGTGCCACAAATTAAATACTATAAAATGTATATCTGTAGAGCTAGTGTATTTCCTACTGTTAAATTTTTAAAACCCATTGAAAAGCATAGAACCATTTCATTCACAGTTTTACTGTGATTACAGTTCAGAGATGCATGCTTGTAATGATAGAAATGTAAGATATGATTAGTACATTCATAGCATGGATTCTTTAAGCAATGGTGGTGCATATTCATTGAATATAGCTATGTTAAGATCATCTCTTATGAAAACTATTTTTTTGCTGTTTTTGTGAATAACGTTTCATCTCAATAATAAAGGACAAAAACCGGAATTTGGTGAAGGGAGAGATGCAGCATATGCTTTCTTTTGACTCATCCCATTGCATTTTTATTTGAAGAAACATTTTGCCAGGATATGCAAGACCTTGTGAATTATGCTGTGCTAAATTACTTTATACACAGCTAGACAGCTAAATATTTGACCTGCTGGTCTCCAATCAATCTCTTTGCTAGTATATGAATTCAATACGTGACTTAAACCAGATTCTCAAAACTGTGATTGGTAATAGAGGGAAAATAGCTGTTGGCATCTTGCATCCCAAGAGAGGTGTTACAGAGTTGATTAAAAAAGAAGCAAGCAGTTACGAGAGCCAGGACTGATGGAAGATGGGAGCTCCTTAGAAAGAGACCGGCTCTATATTTATACCACTTGCGGAGGGGGAAGCGAAAGGGATGTCACAGAGATATGGAGGAGGCTTCCTGTACACTGTGCGACTCCAGAGGTGTTCGTTAAGCCTGGTACCCAGCCACTTTGTTAGTGTGGTGGGAAGGAAGATCAGATAGGAAGCTGTGCCAAAAATGATGGAAATTTATGAGTAATGCTGAAGTTTCTCAAATTGTCTGTATTTTGTGTTCTGGAAAAGTGACTGTGTATTATGGATATTTTTTGTCATTACCTCCAGAAAGAAAGGTTTTTAACTGGAAGTGTGAGCAGTTTTACCTTATTTACAAATAAGAAGAGAATCCAGCAGGATTTCATTAGTATGCACTGGAGACAAATGCATTGCATTTCCTGAAGTATCTTTTTGTGAGTTTTAACTTCTGTAAGCAATCAGCTTATTTGTTCTGTCATTCAGTATGGTTGTTGCAACTAGAAATCTCAAAGAATTTAGGGTCCAAAATAGACTATTCAAGACATGTTCTGCACAAGAGACGACTGTCTATTTTAATGGTTCACATAATAGATAGAAGTAGAAATGGGGGGGAAATTTTAGCGAAGTAATAGAAATAGTCTTCGAAGTATAGGAGGGAAAACTTAGTGAGTTCTTCCCATAATCATCATGCTTTCTGCCGTAGTCAACATTATTTGTACTTTACAGTGAAAATATTTGCTGTACTTTTAACAGTACCTTTAAATTACTATGTATTTTGACAAAAAATATCTAGTCAGTATATAGAGAAGAGATCAGTTGGACCTTTGCACAGTACGCAAACAGCCGTTACACAGATAACATGCATGGCAACACAAGCCGTTCACTGGACCAAGATGACAGGCCCAGGATGACAGCCATGTGACTTTTATTTAGATAAAAGATGATTCCGTTAATAGCTGTAACCTTAAATGCAGAGCATTTCACAGACCTGAATTTTCACTGTGAACTTTCACTGTGAAGTTCTGTAGTGATGGTCTAGTAGTTAATGCATGACATTATGAATCCAGGCGTTTTTTTCCCCTCTCTAATGTCGGCCATTAGACTAGACTCTCTGATCTTTGAGGGATGAATGACTTCCTCCTGGAAATATATATGATGTTGCTCTTCTATTGCAGAGAAAGGTGTAGCAGTAAGTTCAAAGAAAACTTAATTGATAATATCTGTATAAGGATGCACGCGTAGAAGTTTTTAAAATTTTTGCTCTATTTAGTGAATGTTAATTTCAAAGCAAACAGTTTATAAAACCAGTCAGTAGGCACACGGATTCGTTTGTATGTGTCAGCTAACTGTGTTTAAGGCAATTTGCACAAAATAACATCTAATTTGAAAAATTAATGTTGAGATCTGGAAGTCGTTGCTTTAGCAGATCGTTATTTCTGCTAATCTGTTTTCTGTGAAAATATACCTTCAAGTAAAATATTTATCCTAGATAACTGAAATCTAGAAGGTGTATTTTAGTAAAGGTGGCTATTTTGGTTCTTGTCCTAACCTGCTCTTTAATTAAAAGCCTGCAAAGCGTAGTCCATGCAAACTGCAGGATAATTCTTGGAATATTGAATGTCGTACAAATGTGATAATGGAAATTTAAAATAATAGTTTCCAAGAGAGATCAGGCATTTTAACGAGAGCTGCCTGGAAGCAACTCCCTAAGCAATGCCATCTGAAACTTAGTAACCTTAGTAGCTGTGACAGCCTTTCTTTTCTGTGCTTCTGGATTTCCTGCCACTTTGTAGTATGTAGGGAGGGATCAATGATATGAGGAAATAGCTTAATCAGTGCTATCATTGTATATTATTGAATGAAGCTGTTTAGTAAAACCTTCAGGGGTTAAAGTACTTTTCTTACTTCTTCAACCTCACAGTGAAGAACTGCAGTAGGTGAAGGGCAGGCCCTGTGGGACCCTGGGAGAGACACTCTCACTGAATGGTGTTTCCTCACCATTAAATAATTGAATATGGGTTCGATCTTCTAAAACAGAAGATTCTTGTTTTTATTAACTCTATTGGACAAAGTCAAACAGAATTTTAAGAAGTATCATACTGTTAAAGTTACTGGCCAAAGCTTATCCTTTTGATGAGGTATCTTTGGTGAGTTTTGATGACAAATTTATTTCCCATAAAACTAGTCGCACTATCGTCTTCTGACACGTGTCAACCTTAGCCATAATTTTTATTTGAGAGCAATGCTGGCTGTAGTCAATTTGATCATCTCAATTTCCATCTTTCAGTTTTGGCACAGTACTGGTTATGTTCCCCTTTGCTGTTTTCTCTCTTCCTTATTCCATTGCTTAATCCTCCTCCAACAGGAAATAAAACGCAAAAGAAAACCAAACTCTCAAAAACCAGTAGTGATGATACTCAGCGGCACAGGTCCTCGATTACTTTTGACTTTAAAATATTTACCTTTAATAGTTACTATTTAACTTCTCTGGTTATTGGTAAATGTAAAATGCTTGTTTGGGCTGTAATATATTCAGATCCTCTTCAAGACAGAGCAACAACTGAGTCACCAGAACAACTTGGGAAATGGCGGTTTCTGTGTAATTGCACGCATAGCAATGTGTTATTTGTGCAATGGAAGGTTTCTCTCCCCTCATCCCTGCCCTGGTTTTTATGTTACTATAAATATACTAAAAAGCTTTTTTGTTACCAAAATACTGTTGGTTGCTCCTGGTATTATTGCATAGTACCAATTAAGAGTATCCAGAAAGTCTGCTGTGGGGATGATACACTCTGTCTTTCAACTCCTGCTTTGATGAAATGAGTAAACAAAAATGAGCACAGTGGGCTTGCATTAAGTCTTATCTCTTGCTATTTTCATAATTTTAATGTTATTGACATAGAAACGTCTACATGCTCAGCTTTGCTATTTTTTTTCCAGTAGTATTAGAAAATTGTTTTAAAGAAGCCATAGAAATATGTTTACTTAAGATATACAGTAATGTAGGGCGTTCAAGTAAACATCACTTAGTCTTGTGTAAATGTATATTTGGATTGTCATATTTAAAGGTAGTCTTATTAAGCACGTAAGTGGAATGCTATATTTTGACAGAATTTGTTATTAGCTAAATAATAAGTAGCAGCTCAGAAATAGTACAGCATAATATGGAAATGATGCTACTTTATGCTGCTGGGGGGGGGAAGTTTATGAGAAATATCATTAGTATTTGATTTAATGCTTTTAAAAAATATTGTGCCTAAACAAGATCATGGGTGGCATTTCTTGAAGAAGTCTTCTGTTGGCTTGAATCTTGACTTTTCCAGTGCAGTGCAAGTTTCCCTTTCATGTCCAGTGGACATGCGTCCAGCAAAAGTCTGGTGCAATTCATAGGGACATCTGTCATTTCTAACTACTATTGCCTGATCTTTGGTGAGAATGCTAAGAAGGGAGTTGATTCCTCTCATTTCAGAAATGCTGGCTTTTGTTTAATGATCTCTTGCTGTTAACAGATCTGAGAATATCAGTCAGCAATGGCTGGGAGATGCAGTTCTAGCTCTATGCATGTTACCTATGTGAGGCATAGACCTGAATAAAATGCAGCTATACTGCCACAAATTGCGCTGCTTAAGCAATGATGTGTATTGTAACTATTACTCTGGGATGTTGGTGTTTGCTGAAGAAAAACTGTGAGCCAAGGCTATTTCCCTCCTCAGAGGTAGAAAGATGTTGTAGCTGTTTGTATCCTTTCTGGCAGCAGGAAGATTCTTTATGGATGGTCTTAGAAAAGTGTTTTTCCTCCTATTTTCAAATAATAGCAAATCTTGCATTCTGTATGGTGGAATGAGGAATGCCAGAAAAATCTCTTCCATCTGGAAAAGATTACAATATTTGGGGGAATTTTCTTGTGATGTGCATGCTGATGCTTTTAACTACTCTGTGATACAGAGTTCCCATGCTGCTGAAAATACTTGAGTCAACGCAAGATTATTTAAATGGTTCTCGGTAGTGAAGACAGTCTCTTTGAAAAGTAAAAGTTCCGTCTTCAGAAAATCACAGCATTGCAGAATGCTACATTTATCCTATTTTATGACTGGAGCTGATGACAAGAGGGTTCGGGTATGACTGTGGAGTACTTTGTAGAAATTTTGAATCTGATCTTTTACTTTATAATGTCTGAAATTATTCTGAGCAGCTGCTT